ATAATTTTACGCTATAAAAAATAGATGTTAATAATTAACAATCGATTATTTAGCCGATTAGGAGGTAGCAATAATATTGATAAATTGAATATTGAATTCATGATAGTAAGGAAACAATAATATGAATATCAGATCAAGGTAACCAATGAGTAATTAATTTTGGCTATATCTATTACTAACACGATATATCTATCAATATTAGTACATTCGGCCAATATAATTAGCTTCAATATTAATGGTCTGCTTCATGTGACCCGACATGTATGCATCCGACCTCTATAGTGTGAACTCTTGTTACACTCTAAGATGTGTCTAATGAGACAAACACATTTAGATGGCCCCTGAAATGCGAAGGAACTTGACTCCATAATTTTCCCAGCGCCTTAAGAGGTTGAAGAATTCATCTACGTTGCGCATTGCATTTATTGTTTTTTTTTTTTTTGCCCGATTATGGATTGGGTTGACGAAGTAATTAAATTGAGTATTCAGTTACTTATATTTAAATCCACACCCGCAATGTATGCTCTGTCAACGCCGGGTATCATCATGATATGAGTCTGCAAACTGTAATTTATTTAATGTTTTTGTTTGATTCTTCCGTTATCTAGGATGCTTGGTAACCTAAGGTCCTATTTGGTAGGAAGTATTGAAAATTAGGCATAAAGATAAGGATTGGGATTGAGAAAATCTATTAAAAGAGTGTTTAATTAATATGAGAGATTGCTTCTTATATGGAATTAGCCAAAACCATGCGTGTGCGATTAGGGAATACCATGGGGAAAAGTAGCATTCCCTATTCCCATCTCTATGGGTTTGCCTAATTCCTTATAACAAACAATTACTCGAATTAAATACTATTTGAATAATTTTTTTCAATTGTAATCCCAATCCCTAGCCTTTAGTTTCAATGCTTCCTACCAAACAAGTTCTCAGAACTGACATATGGGGATGGGGGTTTGAGTCTCTGGACATGGTAACGTATGAGTTGTTTTTGAAGCTATTTATAGGTTATATCAGAATAGAGCAAGCTATTATTTGCATATTTATATAAGCTGCCGTACATTGAGTGTTGTGTTAAAAAAGTTGGTCAAAATATGCATGAAGGCTAGAATATGTCAAATAACATGGATTATATTTTCTGCCTTATATTTAAAGTTTTTTTTAACCTTTGAAAACTTTTATTGAGTAGTCTTCTTGGCTTGCCTCTATTGGAAAAAGTTGCCCTGATACAAGAAAGCAATATGATGTACTACATTCTCGATCGACGAAGAGAGTTCTTATGATTAAATGCCGTTGGTTATTATTTATTATTTGTATACTATGATTGTTAATTTTTTTTCAGTAGTTACAATATTTTTAAACGATTGGAATCTTATCAGTGATGCAAATAGGATATATTGCATGCTTTATTACTAGATTAATATTTTTAATTCTAATTTTAAATTATAAATATGATTTGTTATGCTATACCATATGAAATGGAAAAGGTGCATGTTTTAATTTTGATCCTTTATAGTTGATTGTAATGTTAATAAAATATCCGTCTAACGCTATTTCACTTGTCATATAATCTGGATTTTACTGAGGGATTGGACCTGCTAATAGAGAAGGTGAAAATTTGCATGCATTTGATCTTGATTATGAAACTTCGCTTGCATCCTGTTGTTTCGTCTGTATGCACATAGTCAAAGGTAAGGGAATCTGATCATTTTTTTTTCCAGTAGAGGAAACATTAAGAAGTCTATTATAGAGCGAAGTTGCCCTAGTTGAAGCCAAAGCAGAGTTTTGGAATTTTCTTAGTTACTGAACAAACTTTTTGTTCATCTAATTTGGATCTTTTTTTTTTCTTCTGAGTAATCTAATTTGGATCTTATCAGTTATGCAGTCACATCCTCGAGTTTTTTAATGCTTTGGCCTCTTTGTCATTCCTCGATAATGGAAAACTTGGATAAGTATGATGGGAAATATGATCCATGGTCTGTGTAGTCGTAAGTATACTTGCTGATGTTTTTAGAGATCCTTCTCAGTTGTCTTTAGTTTTGCAAATTTTTGTTAAATTTGCTTTCCTTCAAAGATGCAACTTCATGCGTTTCTATCATGTTATTGCAAATCGGATAGGACAGTAAAGAAAGGTCAGCAAATGGGTATGCATTAGAAGGTTAGTTACTCGTGGACATTATTAACTTTTAACATTTTCTTTACCGTTGTCATTATTTCCATATTTTTGTTAATGTTTCTTCAAAGCAGCAATATCATATATTGCTGACAGTTTATCTGACAAACGAAATGGCAGTAATTACAAGCAGTAAAGCAAAGTGATACAAAGTATTCCGTAATATGATGGCAATTATATGTAGTGTGAGATTAGGTTGATGGTTTCTTGTATCAGTGACGTTTTCTCAATATTATCTTCCAAATGAAGACAAGAATGTGATGATCCAGATACTTAATGCATTCGGTGATACTTTGTCTATGTATTCTTCTTCCAATGCAATGCTGCGGTATATGTCATGGACAAAACACCTCGTATAAATGATACTACCTCTGGCCCTAAATATAAGAGCTAGTTGGTTAATTTGAGTTGATTAAGAAAATAAGTTAAGTTGGTTGTTTGTTATAAATATGTGTTGTCTTTTCTAAAATATCCTTGCTAATCTAGTTTATTGATTAGAACTACCACTATTAGAAAGACTATCTTAGGAAAAAAATAGATAAATATGAGAGACAAAATGGATTGAGGTCTTATATTTAGGATCAAAATAAAAATCAAAAGAGGTCTTATATTAAGGACCGGAGGCAATATATACTTTTCCAATTGCACTCATAGAAATTGATGATATATGCTGCCGTAGAAACTCATATAGTCTATTGCAATTGCACTTGATGTTCTAACTAACTCCCATCATGTCAAGAGTTTCTCTTCTAAAAGATCTCAATGAAGGAACCGGAGAGTCATTGTGAGGGTTATTAAGAGTTCTGAAAGGAATCATATGCAGTATTTGATTGGTAAATTTGCTCTGTAAATCATGTTTGAATCATTAAATTACACCATTTCTGCAATCGCTAATTTTTGTATCTAATTATGAACATTAGCTATTTAGTAGCTGAGTACAATTTTTGTAGTGTTTTTTTTTTTAATTTATGATGGATGTTCAATAAATTAGTTTAAGTTTCCGAGGATGTGATAGTGAATTAGTTGTTTTGTACCATGTTTTGTCTTAATATTCCTAATTTTTGCTCCTTATGCAACGCACGGATATCTGGTGCTAGTTTAATTTGTGGCGGGTCCAAATCAAGATCTAAAATTGTTGTAAGAAGTATGTGCATATCAATAAAATAAATAAATAATAATACAAAGGTATACAATAAATTAAAGATACATTTTTAAATTGGAGTTTAATGTTAATATTTTTTTGAGTTTTTCATCTATTCTAGTATATTTCAAATTAAAATACAGGAAATGCATATATATGACATTCAAATCCAATAATCCAAAAGTCTGATTGGTAAGAAGAATTGGTTGGAATAGAAAGGAATGGAATGAAGAATTTTCAAGTGAGAACATGTTTGGTAAGGAATGGAATAAAAAATGATGTGGTGAAAAACTTTATGTTTGGTTAGATAAATTTAGGTTGCAAAATTGAGCCATTTTGTTTTATTCACATTACCCTCAATAAGAGAATGTAATATTATTAAATAAAAAAAATACTTTTCAAACTTATAGAATAATAATATTATTAAAAACTCAATAATTCAAGAAAAATAAATGAATAAAAATTACAATAAATAATATAAAATTTTTCCTTATCATTATCTAATTTTATATTTATATTTAATTATTCACAACGAATTACAATAATTTTACTATTGATAATATTTTAATAAATTTTACCTACACCCCTGAAATGAGCATAATTTATAGGGAAAACAGATATTTTGATGACTTGACACGCTGAGAATAACTAAAAATTTCTCTAAGTGTGATTGAAAAATTTAACATATTAGATATAGGAAATAAACTTACAGGCTTGTTTTGTTTCTTGTTTCGAAAGCAATTTTTTATTTTTAAAACAAAAAAAAACTTGTTTGATAATTTGTTTTTAGTTGATTATTTTAAAAAAACACAAAAAACAATAACACATTTTTAAAAAATAAAAAACCAAAACAACTTTTACATGTTATCTCATTTTTGTTTGTGTTTTTTATTTTTTGTTTTGAAAAATCTTAAAAAATCTTCTTCTCTTCTTACCTACCATCTGGCAAAATCTATCACTTGCTATGGGTGATTTTTTCTGCCTCTTTTTTCAAAGGATGATTTTTAAAAAAAAATTATTATCCAATCTCTCCACTGCTCATAGCCTCATAAGGCATCCCAAAACTCAATTTTACAGTCGCCTCAAATCACCAAAAGATGAGCAAACCCATGAATGCAACTGTTATACCAATGTCCGCTTACAATTACAAAGATGTGCACTCCCGGCGTCGCTGGCGCTGCATGGCTTAATAGTACCAGAGGGAGAAATTTAGCAACGCCCCGGAATTTTTCTGGCATAGGCATCGGGTCGCTGTTAACAACCCCTAATTCCAGAAACGACGCATAATTACAGAATCACCCTTTTTTTATTAATTTTAAATTTTAAAAATAATTATTTCATGTAAATATATAATAAAATAAGATAAAATATATTACACAGAAAATTGGGGGAAAATATTCCATTAAAAATTTTGAAAAATCTTCTTCTCTTCTCAGCTGCTATCCAACAACATCTATCACCTGTCAAGTGTGATTTTCTGTGACTCTTTTCTCAAACATGATTTTTTAAACAAATTCTTTTATTTGTTGTTTTCACAACTTGTCCTAAGAAACAATTTTATAAAATTGTTTTGAGCACAAAAAAAACAAAGAACAAAAACAAAAATGCCCTTAATTATTGTCATTTTTAGATATCCCACTTGCAATATCTAGAGGAAAAAGATATTTCGATGAAAGTATCAGTCATGAAATCACACATATTAGTTTTGGGAAACCATGGCTCTGGAGAGAGATCATGGCTCAGGGAAAACCACCGGAACACAATCTTTTTTACAATCAATTTTTCCACCTAACGCAAGGAGGAAAAATCATTTCTTCTAACCCGAAGAATAGCAGAATCATCAACTGGTTTGTGCACTCTTACTCCATCCTTATCAATGATCTTGACACCATAGTTTTCTGACTTCACAATCCGCCTGGATTTCAGTTCCGCCATGCAATCATCCACCAAACGAATTGCTTCTTCCAGTGACATTCCGCTTTTGTAGCGATCGACCAACATTCGGAGTCCATAATAGCGGCCATCACCATCAAAAACTCCCTTCTTAGCCGTTTTAAGTGAAGCAGTGCAGTCAATATGGTAAAAGGAAGGGCCTGTCCCTTCGTCATAGCCCGCAACCAGCATGCTCACTCTCTCAACCTAACCAAAATTCACGCAGGAATTAACTCATCATCCATTGTTCAGGCGATATATTGCAGAGAACAAATTTAAGCAAGCTTCCAAACTTAGCTGATCTCCCATAGTGATCAATAACAACCTATCACAGGCGTACCATATCGCTTCTAAATTGTACATAAAAACAACTTTAGCTAGAGGAGCTTCAAGAATAAATTTTTTGTCTCACTTTTCTAGGGATTGGGATTGGTAATGAAACAGATAGTGCCGTTGCTCCTCATGCCATTGGAATAAATAAATAAATTTTATGCCACAGCAAAGAAAATAAAAATAGAAAGGGGCTTCCTTGTACAGAAACAACCACAGATTAAATCATTAAGAAGCAATGGAGCCCTAATGCCGGCCCCTGAAGGAGGACCTGCTCGGACATCACTATTCATTCAGCTATCTGCTCATTGAGGGAAATCACATCCTAATGGTCCACAGATCAAACAATCCCCGAAGCCCCTTATCCCGGTGGTAGGACATAACAAAAAGAGCACAAAACCACAGCCATAATCGTTAAGTTTATATAGGAATTGTGTTTACTTCAGGTGGCACAGATGCAATTATTCATAAAGGACTAGCATCAAACGGACTTCACTGCAACAGCTCAGAAAAATATTTCCAGGCATTCATAAAGGAATACAACACTCTGACCGAGCAAGTAAAGATATCTCATACATGAAAGCTTGCTTTATTAACAATGAACGATACAGAGACTACCATACCACGTCACTACTGAAGCAATTCTTCCATTGAGTAAGGGAACATCACAAGGAATTCTAAAATTTCAAGATCATCTTCCACCCAGCGTGGGTGCCAGGCGCTGTACCCTACACATACATGCAATACCAAAACTCCAGAATTCACTTGTCAAAAATAATGGGGGAATTTAAACAGGCAGTTGGTGTCAACACAAAATTGAAACCCATAAATTTTAAGGCTAAAAGCTGAAACCCGAACCCAAGAACCTAAAATTAATCAAAACAGTCACACGAAGAATAATAAGCAGGGATTGGAAAAAGGGAATCCTCACCTCGCCTTTGCGCAAAGCAGCGTCGAGCTCGCCACGGATGAATCTGGCGGTGGCGAGAGTGGTCCAAGGGATCCCATCCCCCTGAGACTGAGCCAACTTCTCCTTTATGGAATCCATGAACGGATACCTGCATCAATACGAGTGAATATCACAAAACAAAAATCACTCAAAAAACGAAGAAACCCTAACATCAAACGAGAGAGAAGGTGGAACCTGTCCCCAGGATAACCAATAGCGGCGATGAGCTTGTGAGAATCGAGGACCGTGATCTTGTCCGCGGTGGTATTGGGACTAACGCATCCTAACCCCGTCGCCGCATCCGCCGCCACAATCACGAAGCCATCTCCTACAAGTCCGAATACGCACTCCGTCATCTTGGTCATCCTTCTGAAATCACTTATGGTCTCCATTTTCTTGATCCGCTGCCTTTGATCTCCTTCGCTCCTTTTATTTCCCTCCGAGGCCTCCTTTGTTCTCCGGGGCGAAGGAGCCTTCGTGCACAACAGGTTGGGTAGCAACAAGTTCGGTTCGGGTTGATCCAACGGTGGATGCTGCCAATCCGCGCAGTCGGGCCAGGTTACAAATAATTCATTTTTCTCTTTCTTTTTTTTTTTTGGGATAACATAGAGAATCCTCCTCAAGATTCTACTAGATCGCCAGCAACATTATCGCGATCAGAAGCCAAAATACAAGACAACTCAGTAGGAGTAACAGTGACAATATGAAAGCCAGAAATAGCATCAAGACCCCTTTTCGATCGATTGCACTCCCTGTTTGCATGATCAATTCCCACGTTCCATTGCCTATTTGGAAGACCTCCGATTTCACAAAGAACAGCATAATCAGCGCGGCATTCCTCCGGAGTAGCATTAATTAATTCTACTGCAATGGACGCATCAGATTCAAGCACAACATTACGGTACCCAGCATCCCATGCAACTTTGAGTCCATGTAAGCATGCCCATAACTCAGCGGACATCGCGTCTCCCTCATTAAGCTTAAAGATGAAGCCGCGTAGAAAATCACCGGCAGGATTACGGATGAGTCCTCCACAGGCGCATGAGCCCGTGAGGGTCGAGAAAGCTCCGTCAACATTTAGTTTGACCCACCCTTGATCCGGTGGTTGCCACTTGATGTCGAGGGGATATGTTGGCGCACTCCTTGAATCGGAACACCCCCAAGATATTTTTGAACCGTCTCGAGGTTGCTGAGAAGAGCTCTGGTATTAGCAATGATTGTTTCATTATTCACCTGCTTCTTTTTTCCAGCATAACCATGGTGGAAAAATCACTTTTTCTTTCCCCCAACCCGAATAGCACAATGCCTAACTGGTTTGCATACTCTTGCTCCATTCTCATCGAGGATCTTGACACCATAGTATGGTGACGTCACAACCCGCCTGGATTTAAGTTCCACCATGCAATCATCAACCAAACGAATTGCTTCTTCCAGTAGCATTCCGCGTTGGTAGCGACTATACAACATTTCGAGTGCGTAATAGCAGCCCATCACCATCGGAAGTTCCCTTCTTAACCTTTCCAAGTGCAGCAGAGCAGTAGGGAAGAGCCTGTCCCTTCGTCATAGTAACTTGAAAATTACTTTGTGCTGCGAAGTTAAAATATATATATATATATATATATATATCTTATAGGCAAAGGTACAAGTTACATTTTCCTTGTTTAAATTTTGAAATATTTATCTGAAATTTGAGACTGAGGAGGAAGAATATTGTGGGAAGAAGTGGTGAAGATGATGAGAGTAAGAGGACGAGAGAGAGAGAGAGAGAGAGAGAGAGAGAGAGAGATTCTGAGAAACAACCAATGAAGAAAGGCTCTTGTTGTTCAGGTTTTATGCAAGAGAAGCATATTAAAACAATGATTTGGCCTCCACCCCCTCCTATGCATTCTCAATTATTATGTGTACATTTTCGTGTCCTTTCGTATTTTTTAATTTTTTGTATTGTACACAACGCGGGGCATGCATAGGCATGTGTCTATATCTATGTATATAGATGTGGGTGGGCACCATATGTTTGTAAAGAATCCAGAAAATGGTTGGACTGAGACTTGTGAATTTTATGAATTTTCTCTTAGTTGCCTTAGTGTATATTTGGTTTTCTGCTGATTTTGATGGAAGAAGCAACTTTTGAGTTGCAAAACACAGGTTTGATTGTTTTCAAGGAAAAACCAAATACATCCAATAGGTGACGTCCAAGTCTTCTTAAATGGGAAGAAAAATGTCACAAGAAGATGTTTAACTTGACGAGACTAAAGAGCAAAGTTGTTAGTGTATTCTAATACACCTTAAAAAAGAGCAGGAGATGAGAGCAGTGAGAGAATTTTTGCTCATTACAATGTTCAGGTTTTCTTATAGTTCAACTTGCTGCAGATTACATTTTCATACTAAAATTTAAAGTATTATTCTCTTTTTGTCCTTAACATGGGGGCTAAATCACTAATTTATGAAAATTAGAAAAATTAATTTAGATAGTTATTTGTAAAAATTGTGTATTATTGATGATTTTCTAAAATGTCCTTTTTAATCATTCATATTGAATTTGATATAAACCCCATAATAAGTATGTGCAATCAGTATGGATAATTTGAAAAAAATATTATAAATTTAGGAGACATATATAGTAAACTAAGATCTTATATTTATGATTAAAATAAACTCATAACTAGCTCATATATTTAAAAGTAGAGCGAGTACTTTGGTTTTTGGGAAAAAAATAATAGAAGTGTGATGATAATCGGAGTCATTTTCTGAATATTGATGTATGAATTAAGGGGAAGTGGTCCCTGGCAGACATGGATAATCAAAGCTGGGTGCATGCACGGATTGTGGATGGATGCTTTAGGATGGGGGCTGATTAACTTGTGATAATGACAGCATTAGGATCAAATAACTGCTCCATCTTATGCGGGCATCTAAATTGTAAAGTAATGTGGTGGATGCTTGTACTTCATGATACAACCAACCTCATCATTTCAAATGCCACATCGCCACAAAAGCTTTGTTCCATTCCAACTGATAACCCCTTCTCTTTTGTCTACTACCATACTTTTCCCACCTTTCATTTCTTCATAATCCTATTTCTCCTCACCTGAGTTTTCTTCTTCCCAGTGTTTTGTCTGTTGCTAAAAATTACAACCACGAGCATTATCGATCGAGTAATAACTTTTATCCACATTAGAATTCATCATAATTCTTTGTATTTTTTAAATATAATTTTAAAGACGTGTCATATGAAATTTGAAAAATTAATAGTCATATTCATACCTTATAAGAAGTGTAACCTACTAGAGTTTTTGTATGTTAAGTTCGTAACCCTTTTTCATCGAAAGTACACGTTTCTTACTAGGGAAGAAGATAAGCTGTCTGAAATATAACAAAACCCATTTTGCTTTCCCAGAAATGAAGATGTGACTCTTAAAAGTCCAAAGACAGTGGTTGAGAGGCCATCCACTTGGTCTTTTTGTTCGTCAGATAGGCTCCTCAATCTTATACTTTTGGAATTTAGGGTTTGTTTCAATCGTTAGCAATGTCAATTTGTGAGAAATGGGGTCAAACAAATAGAAACAGGATAACTTTCTTTATGTTCGTTATTCCAAAGTTTGAAAAATACGCATTAGTCTCCCGTTTCATAAGTCAAGGCGTCAAGCCTTAGTTTTAGAAATCATTAGACCAATGGGCTGCGTTGCTGGATCCATAGAATGAGGGTTAGGCCAAGTTCGAATGATGGGGATTTAAGCCTTGTCTCTTCGGCTCCAAGCCCCAGTCCCTCCCCTCTCGAGTTTGTTTGTTTCAGAAACGGCCAAGCAAGCTTGATACAACAATGCAGACGCGGAGAGCTTCTACAAGTCTCGCTCTTCAAAGCGGGAGCTCGAGTGTGAATGGTCAATGAAGTAACCTCCTTGGCTGTCATCATTGAAATTAGGCTTATATATCAGTTAAGGTTTCCAATTTTTATTCTAAACTTCAAATATCATAATCCAAAATTAAGTACTCCTCCTATACTTAATATTGAGAAGGGGGAGAAGAAATTAAGAAAGATGTTTAGGATGTTGTGAAAAAAAAAAGTGATATTAACTAATTTAATTAATATCTTTATTTTACTCAAATTAGTTAATTAAATCTTATAATAAGAATTGAAAGAATATTTTAGCTCTAACTTGTTAGGAACAATCAAATTATACTCATTTACATCCCCCAAATTATTTACTTTAATAAAAAAAATTTCAAAATTCTTAAATATAAAATTATTATATTTTAAATCCTAAAATCTTATTTCAAGTTTAAACCTCAAAATTAAATGATAAAAAAATTTGATAGTACCTCAAATATACATAAAAAATAATTTAATCAGAAATTTCATAATATAAAGATTACATTTCTTACAAATAATGAGCTTTTAAGATAAAATAATTATTTTAAAATAGTAAGTCTAGCAACAAATAAAAATAAACCAATACAAATGATCTACAAAATTAGTTCAACAATACTACAATAATCAATCATCAAAACTCAACAATTGTTTCAAACTTTAGACTAAAATTTTTTTTTCTGAATGACACAGAATTACTACTATTAGATAGATCGAATTGAGTAAAATAATCTTCATAAAATGAGTTTAATTGGAAAAAAAAAAGTCATTGTGCTTACCAAAAATATGTGCAAAAAAAATGAAAAACAGTAGGGAAGGATGGCTACTTTCTCACCCCTAAAAACTTGGGATAAATTAGAGTTAAGAACCCTATTTTAAAATGGAGAAAAGGATGACTTCAAACCCTTTTTTTTAATTTTCACCCTTTTTCTTTTTTTGGTTGCTTTCATTATTTTTACTTAATAATTTCTTTTATTTTTAATTAATTTTTTCATAAATCATGTTTGAATAAAATCTCTTTACTCAGTTAATTATAAGATAAAATTACATTTATCATAAAATAATTATTCTAAATATTTAAATCTTAAGAACAAAAATTACAACATTACATATCTCTACTTCATTGCCGTTGCACCACTTCTCTTGCATCTGTCCTAGATCCAACTATCAAACACACCCTGACTAAAAAATCACCACTCCCTGCACCTTCTCACTCCTCCGTTGACCACTGGGTATCAAACTGTCATCCCCAGGTACGTTCCTAATTCTTCTTTTCTTTAATCCAAATTGCTGTATGTGCTAATATTTGGTTGTGATAGTTTTCTTTTTTAATAATTTACGAGTGGTTGAGAAAAAAATTAATGCAAGATCTCGTAAAAATTACTTCATACAATATATGGTAATTTTAAAGTCTCATCCCCATCATAATTTCCATCCTAATCCATTATAGTTTGCATTCATACTAATTAGAATAAGTTTGAAAAAAAAAAAACATTCCTCCTCCTCCTCCTTCTTCATTCTCCTCTCCTCAGTTAATTTCCATCAAATCAAGAGGATTCTCTATCATATCAAG